GGCGCGAGGCCCCGCTCCCTCCGCGACTTGCGGGAGGGACCCGGCGCCTCGATCAGCTTCGTGGAAGAGTGGCCTTATCCAGTGCCTTAGGGGGTGATTCTGGGCAGCTCTCGGTAGCACTGGGATCAGAAGGTGGCAGCGACTTACCAAGTCATACGGCAGGCACAGGCAGCGGAGTAAGGACCTGGGTCTCTCCAGGCAAGCACCCTGGCTGCCACACTCTCACAGAGAATCCCCAAGAACTTCTCCCTTCTCAGCCACCACTAGGGAAAGAGGGCTTAAGATTGGACCAACTGTGGACTGGGTGACCTCCTGGCAACCTAGAGAATCTGCCCAGTCAGGTCACCTTCCCTTCCCTATTGTAGCCCAGAGTTTAAGTTACTGGGGGCAGAATGAAATTCCTATCAGAAATGAAATTAGATGACAGAGTGAAAACACCAGGCCTATGGAAGCTGAGGCAGGGGGATTGCCTACTTTGAGCCTTTGTAGTGAATTCAAAGCCAGCCTAAACCACATAGTGAGACCCTGTCTCAAACAAACAAACAACAATAAAGAAGTTAGTGGAGGGGTTGGATTTTTGCTCAGGGAGTGGTGGTAGGAAATCAAGCAAGAAGAGGTTTATCCTGTGTATAACCATGGGGTCACCACCTGGCAATGCCACCCACTCTTTATTTTACACTGCCACCTGCAGCCTGTTCTGGCCACAAAGACAGGAAACAGTCCTGTCTTTGGGGACCGGCAGGGCTTTTGGAGCCCAGCTCCAAAATCAGCACAGCAGGAGCCTTCCTGGACTGGGAGGCACCTGCTGCAGCTCCCGGTGGGAGCTCAGAGGCAGCAGGAAGAATACTGCCTGAGGAGTGAGGACCTGGGGGAAGAAACACCCTGTACACTCAGCAAAATGCTGCCTGCTCTGGCAAACAGTCAGAGGTCAAAAGGGACCCTCGAGAACTGTCATGAGGGGTGCAACATGTCCAGGGTAAACTGCAAAGCCCAAGGTCAGGCCAAGAGATGTCCGGGAGGTCAGCTGACCTCAGGATATTCATGAAGGCAGAGAAGAGGCACACAGGTGCACTCGCAGACATCCCAGGGTAAATGCGTGCTTGTTTCCCAGAGGAAAATGGAGTTCAGAGAGACTAACAGAAGGGCTGCCACCTGCATGTAGCTCAGCTCATTCTAAAACCTACGCTTGTTGTCCCTCTCTTGTTGGGTCAGTTTAAAACCCGTGCATTTTGTGACTGGCAGAAGTGATAGCTTCATCATCTCAAGATGTCCTCCCAGCCACCCCTGCAGCAAATGCTGACCTGTATGGTCTCCAGCATTGGACAACCACCTGGCCCAGGAGCCTTCTGGTCCAGGAGCCTGCTGCTCCACATCCAGCAGAGAAATGCTAACTTTCAGCTGGGTGTCATGGCTGGGTGCCGGCCTGTGCTGCACACTGACCTGGCTCTGAGCCATTTCCTGGCAAGGAGATCCTGGGCAGGGTCCACGGCCTGAGTGCCTCTGTTTCCTCTTCATCAAAGCTAGGCAATCACTGTACCTCCTGTGGATGGTTGTTGTGGGATTACAGGAGCCCATGCGTGAAAGTGCACAGCAGGGTGGTGGTTATGATTGCCGACAAGGTCCCAGGACAAGAAAAGAACATGTATATTATATTCTCTGGCGCTTGCTGCAGCACAATTTAGCCTGCACATTGAACCACAATGAATTTGTGTTTTGGTTTATTCCAAACTAGTAGCAGAAGCAGAGGGGGGCTTGAACTCAACCTTCCCCTCTGCTTCCTGTCTCAGTCTTCCAAGTCCCCCTCCCCCTTTCCAGGACCTCGTGATTGTCAGGGCTGCAACACTCCACTCCCATCACAGGGCCAGGGATAAGGTCCCCGAGGCTCTGAGGCTGCACAAAACCCTGTACTCTGCAGCTTCAGACACACTGGCTGTCCTCTTTCAGGCTGGCTCTGGCCTCTGCACTTGGGATTTGCAGCGCTCTCTCTGGTGGCATCTCCTCAGAGGGGGTGTTCTTCAAGCCACCAGCATGCTGGGCCTCTGTTTTCAGGCCACCTGCACTGAGACCAGAGGCTGCTCTAGCCCCGACAAATGCACGGAAAGGGGACTCAGGACTCACCAGTGCTGGGTCAGACAACACCTGACACCCAGTGGGAAGTCTGTGAGCAAAAACATGAAAAATAACCAGTGTTGGTGAGCATGTGGCAGAATCACAATCCTCATGCACTGCTGGAGGGAGTGTAAAGTGGTGCAGCTGCTGAGAAAGACAACTTGGAGCCCTTCAATAAGTCAAATGCAGCATTATCATCTGGCCTAGCAATTCCATTCTTAGGTATAGACCCGAAAGAATTGGAAACAGGTGTTCAAACAAAAGCTTGTCCATGAATGTTCACAGAAGCACTATTCATAAAAGCCAAAAAGGGGAAACAACTCAAAAGCCCATCAACAGAATGGGTAGGCACAATGTAGTGTATCTCTACAATGGGGTTTGTTTCAGCCTAAGGAAAAAGACATTTGACACATGCTGCAGCATGGACACATCTTAAAAACACTGTATGCAGGGCCCCAGGAATTTAGCTCAGTGGTTCTGCAGCCTGCCTCACAAGCTCTAGGTCCCAAGTTTGATCCTGGTACTGGGAAAACAAAACAAACAAACAAAAAACAAAAATCCCCAAAAAACACTGTGCTCAATGCATAACCTAGTCACCGGATTCCACAAACTGTATGATCCCATTGATAGGAAAAATCCAAAAGAGAACAATCCACAGAGATGGGAACTATATTCATGATTGGCAAGGGACAGAGAGGAAGAAGGAATGAGACCACTGAGGGGTGGGGGGTTGAGCTTTGGGGTGATGAAAGTCTTCTAAGAGTAAAGGTACTTGCAAGCATGTGCCACCATGCCTGGTAGAATTATGCCCTGTAAAACAGTTCTGTGTTGTTCAAACTGTATTTAAAAAAAAAAAAAGAGCTGGGTGGGGCAACGTACATTTGTAATTCCAGCACTAGGGAAGCTGAAGCAGGAGGATCAACATGAGTTCGAGGCTGGTCTGAGATACATAGTGAGTTCAAGGTCAGCCTCAACTGCACAGTGAGACCCTGTCTCAAAAAACAAAAACAAAATAAAAAATATCAGCGAATCAGACTGCTGATGGTCAGTACACAGCACCTGGGAATAAAGCAGGCAGCTGGAGCAAAGTCTGAGGCCTGGTACGTGGGCTTGACTGGGGACAGTAGGCCTGTCTTCCCCACACTGTCCCCTGAATGGTCAGGGACGAGCAGCGTGGCCAACACCTGGCTTTATGTATTTGGGGCATGGATCTACTGTGATAGGGCTCTGGGACTCAGTTCCTCATCTATAAAGCGGGGACAAGAAGAGCACCTGCTTCACTGCATCATTGTGAGCCTCAGGTGAGGCAGGATATGGGGGCCTCTGGCTGCCATGCTCAGGTCATGAATATGTGACAGGTGAGAATTACAGCCCCCACTGCAATTGAGTGCTGTTGGGGGTGCAACCATACTTCAAGGAACAAGGCAGTCTGAGGTCTCCAGTGAGGGAGGCCTGTAGGACTACCTGTGAGGTTTGGGGAGAATGTTCCAAGTCACCTTCCTGCAGCGGGCCCTCAGACACCATATTGATGCTGCACTACTCAGGCACTGGGCACGGGGGGTGCCCTTCACCGGCCTGGCTGCCCTGCCATGGTGGTGTGGACTGTGCATGGGTCCTGCCTTTGGGCTAGGCTGCTTCTGTTTGGGTAGGCATCAGGTACTTCTGCTGAGGTTAGAGCCTGCACCCACCCAGCTAAGGGGGCTGGGAAAATGAGAGCCCCATGGGGAGCTCTGTGCTTTCAGAGCAGCACCCTATGTACAGAATAGGGGTACAGGGTGTGCTTCGTTGTCTCCTGGTCTGGGGAGGGGGGCAGGGGTGCACAGGTGAGCAGTGTTAACTGAT